TCATCGCTCTTTAATCAATTTACTTATTTATTATCGGCATTGATTTATGAATCCTGGGTGTACGCCTAGCTCTTCGCCTTAGTGCAAGATCGGCATTGCATCTCGTCGTGGCAAGAATATATTAAATAACGAGCAACCGGGGGAAAACGCTCTATTAATAACGCGGGAGGGGGGAGGGTGGACACGTAGCGTTTGACTGTAGTCCAGGCTCGGGAGAACTCTTTGAACTCGTTGCTTATCGGCGGAGCCGGCGAATGGGCTCCGGGGCAAGTAATCGGCGATACAAAATGGAAAACGCTGATAATTTAAGCGTGGGGCCCTCCGCTCGGCCGATCAAGAACGGCGGGAAAACGGACGAGCGATAGAAAGAGAAAGAGAGATAGAGAGAGACGGGCGGAATAATCCAGGGCGTTATTTTATTCGTTGCTGTGGCGCAGTCGATGCACAAAGTTTTCATAAACGTTGCTCGTGGGCACGTTGAACGTGCGCGTCTCTCTTTCTCTCTCTCTCTTCTCTTCTCTTCTCTTCTCTTCTCTCCTCTAGCCTCGCGAGAGAGCTCTTCCGCTTCCTCTCTCGCTCGCAGCATGCGACAGACAACGGTTAATCAATGGGCTTCAAGCGCAGGCTCGCATCCCGGGATCTTCCCTGATGGACAGCGGCAACAGCAGCAACAACATGCACCCACTCGAGGGGGAGGGGGGAGGAAGGATACGAGGGGAGGGAAAGGAGCGAGAGAGGGAAAGAAACAAAGGGGAGGAAAGGCGTATCGAGATGGAGAGAGGAGGGTGGATCGGGGATGAAACGAAGAGAGAGAGAGAGAGAGAGAGAGAGAGAGAAGGAGAGCGAGTAGGCGAGAGCGCCGCGGGCGCGTAAAACTAGCGAACAATTTAAACTCCCCTTTCAAGTCGCAGCTTTGTTTATACGAACGAAAATAATTCGTCCGCGTATCCGTCTTTCCGTCTGACGTGGGCGCGAAAATAACTGAATATACACGTTGAATTCACGGATACATATCGCGAACGTCGACATGAATCGGCAGAGGACTCAATCTTCGAAAGATTAATTGCGAGCCTTGCGCGAGTTTATTTTTATTTATTGATCTTTGTGGTAGATTCGTACGAGGATTCGTTCCCCATCCGTTAAGAAACCGCGATCGGTCCACGGGACGATTTTGCAAGATACAGCATCAGAAAATTACGCTGTTGGTAGTTGATTTATTTCGAGTCCTTGTAAAACGACGTCGATATAATGCGGTACGAATGTGTAAGACATCAAAAGCGATATACCGGCATCACACGTCGAACGCAACGCCGCGATGTGACGTTAACTTTGAACAATCGGTAAGGAAGCCAAAGCGAGCGGGATAAGGTTCTGCCTCCTTCTCTGCGAAATTAGTCTCGAATCGCGCGGCCTGTCGGTCTCATCGTCAAGTAAGAGAATTACTTTCGAACTCGCAGACCGATAAAACAGGCCCTCTCTCATTTCTCGACTCGACTCGGGCGCGATGGACCTAAAAACTTTCCGCGCTCGTAAATGAGAACCACCTGGACGCTCGGTTTTACGATCCATTTGCATCCGGCTTTAAGAATACCGTCAAAAAGGATCTTGCAATTAAAGGCCACGGAGCGCATCTTCGCGAATATCACCCGGCCGCGTCGTTTTTCGGCATGCGTCAATTCGCGAGAACTCACCCGTCCGTCCGTTCCTTTCGCTGCCTGTCGGAGTTAACGGGAATCCTTCTCGATCTCATGAAAAATCGTTAACTTCGTCCGCTGAAGCAATTGCCAATTAGCCGTTTTTTCCGATTATCGATACATCGCGCTTTGTGACAGGGGACAGCATATTATTTTTGCGATGTTGAAAACGCGTCATATCGCTTAATCGATACGCCGTATTTTTTTTCCTCCCGGCACAGAAAAGATTTCAAATCGGCGTGTAGCGCGTTTCCGGACACGTCGAACAGCCGCTGGAGCGGGCTCGCCCGCAAAATTGGACGAATCGGGGAGGGGGAGTGGAAACGGACGAACGGACGGACGGACGACATTGCACACACGTACTGCATTCGCACGAAATGGGGGGGAGGAAGGGGGTGAGAAGAAAAATGCAAGGAGAGGGTCGGGGGTGAGCGGGCAAAACTCCCAGCGAGATTGGATCCCTGAAAAGTAGTTCGTGCTGGCTCCACCTGATTACCAGTTTCGCTGATGGATTCTTAGACCCCTTCTGGAGATCTGCCCCGCGTGCGTTCTCTCGATCTTCGTCATCGTTCTCTCGCTTCGCCGATTCGCGATAGTCCTCGCGAAACGTTTCCCCAATTCCCGCCAAATCGCGCTCTTATAGTCAGTTCTCTTTTTAATAAATCGATTGTTTCGGTACACACCGGCGTATCTTTCACCGAGTGAGGATTGCATGTGCACAAGAATCCGTTGCGTCTGCAGCGAATTGCGTACGATCCACGGAATATCGGTACAGATTGAACCGAAGGCTTTCCGAGGTATAGAACAATAATTTTCCAGCGGATTTTCTACAACGTTGAAAAATATCGGTCTAGGAAGACACCTGCGCGACGTGGGAAATACGTATTGCGGTATCGAACGTGTAACTTACATCAGCGACTCAAACAGCGTAATGATTGCGCGATTGCGGGTCTGTTGTTAGATAGGCACGACGAACGTGAGCCACGCAATTCAAAACGAATCTAATAACGATCACAGGAGAGGAGTTAGGGAGAGGGGGGGAATGAAATTAAAACAGAAACCGGAAACAAACCTCAAAACGTACCCATCGCACCCGCACTAACTCAGCTTGCGGGAGGGAAAAAAAATTCTGATACGCTGGCAAAACCAATTATTTTGCGGAATGCAGCTTGCGGTTCATTTAACGCAACGTGGCTACCTGATATTTTATATAAAACTGTCCACCAGTGTGCGGAGAGTCGAATCAGTTGCGGTCGCGGTGACCGCACCGGCCACCGTCATTTCACCAACAATGTTCACTGTTTTTTTTTAATTCTCATGTTACGCAAAAGGATGGTCGCGGCATCCATTGGTTGGTTCGACCATTGGTGAACTATCGTGTTACATTGCGCGGCAGAGATGCGATTTCTTCAGCAATTTTCTCCACAAATGCCTAAATTTAAACGCGCATGGAAATGATGATAATTCGTTTCGACAGAGTAGCACATATAATTTTTCTAAAGAGCCGTTTTGTCGAGATTTCACAGTTTTACTGTCAGGATGTGAGATGACCCATTAGACGAGTGTTAAAATATCGATATTTTATTCACTTTTAAAATACATCTCTCGACAGCATACAAACTCAAACCTGGAGATGCCAAGAATGGATCGACTTCTTCTTGCATGAGATTTATCGTCGCGTAATTTTCTCCTTATTTCTCCGATATCAATTGTGATTGACGCGATGCTTAAATTGAGTTAAACGCGAATCGCTCATGCAGTTGCGATAAAAGGCGACTAAAGACGCCGCTGTCAATTAACGAATGATAGCTTAACTACGCACTACGCTATAAACCACGAAAACGGAAGGAATTACTTGAAGATTCTCTTCCCTTGTGGCGTATAATCGAATTAAGCGTGACTTTAGTTTAAATCCCGTCACTCATTTAAAAAGTAATCTTCAGTTTCACTGAAGATTGTCCCCGTTAACCGTTCTTCATTAGCAAATTGGCCGGCAAAAGTCCCCGGCATCCCCATTAAAGATACACCGTACCGAAAAGTTTTTCGAACTAATTTACCGTAACTTCTCCTCTCTCGTAAAAGCTGCCTCTCTCTTTCTCTCTCTCCCTCTCCTCTTTCCCTTATATTAAATAAAAATTTCAGTAATGGCATTCTTGTGCAACATCCAATTTGCGAAGATTACATTCCCCGTCAAAAGAATCGAAGGAGAGAGGCTAACTATCCAGCTAAGCTTCGGAGGGACACTTTCCTTTAATCGCGCATCTTGACTTCCAATTATTACTTTTATCAGAATTCCGATCTCGGGGGACGGTCGTCGGATTTACCGTTACTCCCGTCGTTCCAACACTCGTTTATCTATATTAACACAAAATCGCCGACGATCGGCGTGTATATTGTCTTAGCACGTCTACAGTTTTCTATCTCTATTATGTACAAAGGTGCGCAAAGGAGCGTTAGATTAAAAGGCACATGTTCATCCCGCTGCAGAAATCGCTTAAGAATGCGTTATACAAACGAACGGCGCTGACGTAACACAAGATCGCAGAGACGTGCGCTTCGCTCACAGTTTTAAACAAATAACTAATTGACACTACGAGCTCGAGAGCAATGCTCGAGACGAGGAGAGCCTCGGGGTTCACAGTTGTTCGTATCTCTATCGTTCGGTTCGGAAATGAAAAATCCACGGCCCGCGGAATCTTGATTTTAGGGATTGTGCGATCGATTGTGCCGCGCGTCGTGCTCGCGTGCTCGCGTTTATTGACGTGGCGCGAGAATAGAATTCGCGTCGCGTGTGACGTTCGCTTTTCCGCTCGCTTTTTCCGCCGCGGGTCGCAACAATATCGCGCATCTCGGCACGACGCGCCATTACTAATTGCCGGCAAGCCTGCCGTTGTCATGTGTTTGCACGCGCGCGCGCGCGTGTTGCGTGTATCTCTCAACTCGGGCATCACAATCAGCGGGCGTGCACAATCGTATTATCGACTATTGATTTCGGAAAGCATCGACTTGCACGCTCGTCAATGCCGTCCGCGCGCGAAACGTATCGATTCCCTTCCTTGCATAGTTCGGCGTAAAAGCGAATAACGATACGTGATTATCGCGAAAATTCAATCTTTTTTTTTTTTTAGATATTTATTCGGATTATATGACCGTTTTCTCTCTTATATTTCTCTTAATATTAATATCTTATTGCATTCTTTACGTTTGAGCTGCTGGCCGAAATGATAATATAAATTGTAATATTTTTTTGTAATCTATAAAGAGAATAAACTCTCACTTTTTATTTATTACACTCGAAAAATGTATAACAGTGTAAAAATATAATTTTTTTTCTGCAGTCTTTTTGTAATAATGTCAAAATATAATTTTTTTCTTTTCTACATCATCATTTCGTCCAACGACTCGTCGAATAATATTAACAAGCTAACAGTATTCTCAATCAACTAGCCTTTTATGCGTTTGCAATCTGTATTATTTTTACAATAACGCACATTAATAATATTTTGGCGATACTGGACTATTTACGTATAGGCATATTCGGTATTTAGAGACTCGCTTCTCAACGGAGACCGCGTCAAGGTAACGATTAAAGCGCAGTTGAACTCTTCACATTGAGGACACTGTCCATATTAATCTCCATTTATAGACTGACAAGTATGATTCAGCGTGTACGGAACGTCGCTGCCCGGAAGTATAACAGAAACCGCGACATCCGCCAAAATAGATTATAGCGCGGTCGAAGCCGTCCAACGGAGTCGTGTCCGGGTTTGATGATCGATCATGGAGCACTCGGTTGATTTTCCCGCAGGTGTGTCGGTGGCACGTATTGCTCGTGGTGGCTTTCGTACTTCCGCCGTAACGATCAACTTCCGACGCTTCTTGTCCGAGACGCGGAGACGGAAAGGGAGAAAGAAAGAGAGAAAGACGTCCGTAAAGCAACGATCGACAGAAGAGACGGATGGAAGGCGCCTCGGCTATCCCACAGTCTCGAGCGGGGTCTCATCAACGATTAAGAACTGCATCCAGGGTGCAGGACGCTTTTCCACGTCGGGCAATTCCTTCCGTCGGAAGGGAAGGCCGAGCGCAGACGGAAGTCGAGCTCCGCCTCCGGTTTCTCTTTTATTGACGCAGCGGTGCTCATCACGACGAGCTTTATCCGTTCCCCCGTTCCCTCCCCTTTCTGGAAATGGGTAGGACGATTCTTCGCCTTCGACGAAGATCGCTTCGATATTCATTGGGCAAAGATTTATCCACCGGTAATCTCCTTCTGAACGTTCATCGCGCGATTCAGCGGCTCGAGTGTGCGCGCTATCGCACGACGACAACGGCGGCGGCGGCGGCGGCGGCTGTCGCGACGAGACCTTTCGCAGAACTCCACGATTGTCATGGATAATCGCTCTGTCGTGTTCTTCTCCGCGCGATCTCGGCTATCGTCAGATGCTCTCGAACGGTCTCCTCCTCTCGTTTCCTTTGAAAGTTCCGCAGTCGTGATAGGGCCCGGGCATGAATCCCACGCGCTAGCTTCTATCGATCGATGGTGATGGAATAGTTAAGTGACTGCGGATTGCTTCCGCGTTCGGAGGAAGATCCGCGTCATGGATTTATTAAAGAGGAAGAGAGAGAGAATAATTTTCTGCACGTAGAGTCTCTTCTGGAGAGATACTTTTTTCGAGTCGCGCCGGTGACTCCGGTGAGCTCTTATTGCGGCGCTTTTTTCTTTACGATTTTCTGTACTGGCGAGGAGAGTACTTTCCTTCCTGTAGGACGACGACGTGATCGCGTTTCCTCCTCTTTCCCTTTCCCGTTCTTCTTCGTTTCTTCAAGGCGAAGTATCGCGTGCCATCCGTCCGCCCCTTTCATTTCCTACGCACGAAGATATTCTCCAGGAGTTCCTTCGTGATCAGTCGGTGGGGTCTCGTCGGGCTCTCGGTGGGCGTACCGTAAAGTCGACTGTTGATGGCGTAGAGCTTCGGGCTAAGCTCGCACCTCACGTTGAACCACCAGTCGCATACGAAGACCGCCTGGCTGAATTGCGTGCCGTTCGGACAGAGAAACGTTGCTTGTCGGCCGTCTATGTCGCAATAATGCCACGCCTGGCATCTCGTCTCCACGTCGGCGAAGAAGCCGGGGAAGGACTGGTCGTCGCAGTAGAAATTTGTGTAAGGCACCTTTCCCAGCACCGGATAATCCGTGCCTGGGCGACCTGCAATTGCAATGAGTTCAGTAAGTCTTATTTTCAACGTAATTGATGCAGATACTCTAAATGTGTTTTAGTAGCAAGCAATTAAATCGATAAAATTAATACTACATAATGTATATATTTTTCTTGATATTAATGAAGGTATTTAATGAATTGAAGTAATAATCAATATTTCAACTGTACGGTCTTCGACATTCAAATGCGTTTCATCCGGCCTCCCTGATATCGCGTTCGATCGTACGTTCGGGGCTCTAAATAATTCACAGATTATTCCGACTGTAATTTCAGCGCTCACGGATTCCCTTTGCGTGAAACCCGCGAGCGCATATAAAGCGCCGGGCGATTTGGATGAGTTAGCTACTTAAATGAACGGACGCAAGAGGGGTTAAACGACTCGATGCAACCACGGTTCTTTGCCTTTTCTCTATTTCCGTTTCCATCTCTCCATTTGCAGCCGCAGCCATTCGAATCTCATCGGAAAATCGCAGTTTCTCGCGTAGCTTTCTCGGACAATGGTGCGATTGTGTGTAACTGGAAACTGAGAGTCGACAGAGTATTTGTTTAAATGAAGTGTTGAAAGGCAAGAGAAATTAGAAGATAAAGATATACAAATTATATATTCAATTTATATATTTTTAAATAATAAAAGTTAAAAATATATAATTTTATATCTCTAATATTTGTATAAAAATTTTACGCTCATATTGAAAAATTGCACTTGAAATAATTTTTATCCATATATAAACTTAATCTTATGAACTACGCTTTACGCGAGAACAAAAGAAAAAATTTCGTCTTTCTAATTTTGTTAAGATTCTATACAACGTATTTCAAACTTTTTTCTGGAATCAAAATCGAAAATATATCTAGTTCAATATCGCCAAGTGTAAGCAAGTGATCCCAAGGTCGCTGAGAGAGGGATATCTCAATCAAAGGAGGTGAAAACAAAGGGTAGACAACACGAAGCTGTTGGCGTCGTAACTGAAAGAGGTTCGGAGGCACCGGTGAAGCTAGCCCGAGAAAGCGCCTTCGGGCTCCTTCATCCTCAAGCCTTGCCGCCATTTTTCTTTTCTTGCAATCTCTTTTCCCGTTGTTCAAGGCTCAGCGGAAAACGAAATAATTACACTGTCACACACGAGTGCATACCTTCGAAAGGGGTGAATAGCTCGAGAGCGAGAATACGAGTTCGACGCGGGCATTGTTATAGATAGATTCTACCGAAGTTATAATTACGCGGACCCAACCACGGATCGGGATGAGGATGAGGGAGAAGGAAACAGAGAAAGAGAGAGAGAGAGAGAGAGAGGGTAGTTTCAACGAGCGGAAGCGAGACAGCGGGCGTTTATTCCGTGCGGGTACGCAGAATCTCTTCCGCTGACAAAACAGATCGGACAAGCGGCGCAAGGTGTGAATTTCGTATGGATGTCGGTGCAACACAGTCGGAGTTTATGCGACCACGTCGGTAGGTGCACGTTCTGTGTATACCCGTGCCCGGGGTGTTGCGCGCGTATACCAGACTGGTCCATTTCGTCGCTCGTATCCGCGTCGCATCGCGTCGCATCACATTCGACGAGACGCGTCGCGTCGCGTCGCATCGGTATTCCTGCAGGCGCGCCCGAGATGAAATGAAACCTGGCCAATCCGCTGTTTTCAGCTAACTTGAACGACTTTCCGTCGAGTGAAATTGACGTGGGAATTTCTTGACTCGCGCGAAGTTTCAACAATATGAAATAACGCGTAACCAGACAGTAATTACTTATTGTTAAAATGCTAAAAGAATGTGGGACATTGAAATTCTCGCAGAGAAATTTTAACAGAAATGAATTGGAGTCTGATTATTTAATAGAACTTTATGCTTCTCCCTCTTGAAACAATCAATTTCAATTAACTTACAGGAGCAGTTCACATACCTGAATAAATGATTTAATCTTGGTAGATGCAGAAATAACTCCATGTATAATACATGAAATATCGTTTATTGTATGTTTAAAGAATTCGCACGTTTTGCCATTAAATATTTAATTAAATGCTTTAATTTTAGAAGATTTTAGTTAAAGCATGGTTCTCAGAATTTACACGAGGACAATTTCGTTATACATCCGCTATGAAAACATACTCCACCCTGTGTAGCCTCTACGTTCTTCTTCCTCCGAGGGACATCTCCGTCGTTCCATCTTCGTCGCATGCTCTCGTGAACGACAGTATTTCTGCCCGACGAAACTAAGCTTGTCGCCCGATGAGATTCGAATAGTTGGACCGACAGAGACGCGAATAGGGAGAGAAAGAGGAATTGGGGGAGAAAAGGGGACAGAGCGATGAGGTTGTTCGCGAGTCGGGGACACGACGGAATGCTGTTTCATTGCAAAATTGTTTAGATACGGAGATGCTCGAAACCAACCTTATAATCGCTAAGAAGCTCTCTTGCACTGAAATTACAGGGTGACTACTATATATGTTAACGGCACTCGTAATATCGCGTCCTGCAAAGCGTTACTAATGAAACGAAATTAATATCCTCCATATTAATATTTATTAATTCAATTTACTATTCCCTTGATAATAGTATCATATGAAGAATTTGCGTTTGGTGATGGAGTATTTTTTGAAGATGAAATTGAATTACCTTTTCGATAGAAGAGATATAATTGATTAACTATGTATATCTTCAAGCGGAATTACTTTGTGAAATTTTTTGACAGTCGGCGATGTGAAACGTAATGTTTAAAGCGCGATTTAACATTTGAGAAAAATAGTATTTTTTTTTATCCATACATCTAGGACGCAATCTCTCGCGGAGCTAACGAGGGAACTTTCTTAATAAGCGTTGACCTCGTTTTTAATTCCCTTTGCCAGTCAGAGAAAATGCTGGTTCACGCCACGGTATTTGTTATGCGAATACTTCCTCGGTACCACTTTAAAAGGGAACCGTGCGGACTTCGGATCAGCGATTCCATTCTTGCGCGAATTTTACGCGTTGGCACGCGACCAACGTCTCCGCGCGGCGACGAGACCCCGGGTCTTGTTATCTTTTCCGTTGAGAGATCAGCGTACTCTCCTCTCGCATGTAATCTTATAAAAGTCCCTATATCTCTTCTCCTCTTTTGGAAGTAAAACAAGAATCTTTAAGATCGAGGATTCGGACGCGCGCGCGCGCGCGCGCGCGCACACACACACACACACACACACACACACCGCATCGTCGCGAAGCTATATGTCGTCGAATGTCGCTTCCGGAAACGCCGCAAGATCCATGTCGGTTTTCTGGCTCCGTTCTTTATTTAACTTTTCCATGAGTCTTTTTACCCGAATCTCTGTTTCGACTGGCTGATTCTAAATTCACGATTGAGCCGAATCACGAGAATCGTGTATTTTACGAAAAATTATCTTCGCTGCCCAACGAAATTCTTGAAAATATCTTTAATATGAATATCTTGTTTAAAAAAATAATACGGTATATAATTGTCTATATACGTAGTAATCTTAATGAACAGTATATTTTTGTATATTTTAGGGGATAGCCGATCATTGTGTTTTCATACGTACAAACGATTATTTCGCTTTGTTACTTATGTATCTCACGTTGTCTGACAGCATCAACCCCCTTTAACGGTTGCACGTGAGCTCGCTATCGCAAAGTCGATATTCCTTCCGCGACGAGTCGCGAGCTCCCTCGAATGTATCGGGAGAGACGCGATGAAAAGTTCACGTAGAGACTTTGGATCGCGTCGGGAAACTTCTGTCTCGAATTATTGAGGCAGAATAAATAAGCAAAACGGGAACGTACACGGAATCAGCGAATCCTCTCTCTCTCTCTCTCTCTCTCTCTCTCTCTCTCTCTCTCTCTCTCTTTCTTCCCCCTCCTTCGTTCTTTTCTCTTTCTGACTTTGCCTTTTTTCCTCGCTTCTTTCGTATAGGAACTCCTAACGAGTGCCACCCATAATAGACATTCCCTCTCCCTCATCGTCGGTCGCGTTTCTCGTTGACGTTATTATTATATCGCCGACAATTATGAGGACCGAGTTTTCAGCGTCATATCTTCCCCTTTCTCACTTTTGCCTCGATCGTCACCGGGTGCCTGTTCGTTTCGTTTTCCAATTCTCGTCGCCGCCACCGCCGCGAATCGATGCTGGCAAACAGGTAGTGCATACACGCGAAGCGCTCACGAGAGAGATCACGGCGAGTAGCGAGGACGCGTCGCGTTAGAAAGTCACGCAACGTTAGGTCGTGCGCATCAACGCACGTCGCTGATTCGTGTCGCCGGGACGCGACACGTTCGCGGGTCAGCCGTTGTCGGATTGATTGACCCCGTTCGTCTAGATGAAAGACGCGTAATTGCCTAACGACTTATTCGAGATAATGCGAGACCCCGTTAATTCCGAGTTGCGCGACGAGACTCGGCGCCAGGCGAGGTTTCTTGCGTATAATTTAAGCGCCTTGTGCACTTGGCAGATGATCGAATGTCGATATCTGGCGAGAGGGGAGGACGCGCAGGGGGAGGAAGTTTGCTTTGTGCAGGTAACAACTCGGGTGCCAAGGTAGAAAGAGAGGAGAGCCTGCGAGTGCGCGTCTCTCGATTAATCCGGAACGTATCCCAGGGGGGACTCGTGCTCAGAGAAGCTCCTCGCGTGTGCGGGCGCGCTCGCGCGGATGGAAGCGAATCGCTTTTGGAAACAGGGACGTGATGCCAAGCGTTATCTTGCGCAATGAGATCATTCCGAGCTGAACAGCGCAGCGTTGTATCGTGCCGAGTTGGGCTGAACTGAACTGAGCCAGAGCCGAGCCGAACCAAACGACGCATGAGACGGAGAACCAAAATGATCCATGCGGCAATCGTACCGAAAACGATTAAACAACCGTTTCCTGTGATTATCCAGCTGTTCGTTTACACTTCGGATGCGTTTGTCCTACAAGCGAGATATTAATCCTTTCAGCGGCCCGAGTACCAGCGCGGCGTGGCGCGGTATTAATTGCACATGCGAGGATCTACCCTCCCCTCTCTCTCT